ACAATTAACTGCTATCAGAACTCCACTCAGGATTTGGAGCATTGATGAGAAAGGTCACATTTTTTCATGCATTATGTTGATCTCTTAAATGTGTGACTAAGAAATAAAGAAGAGGCAGATATTTAAAAAATAATTTTGTGGATATGTTTGAGATGAGGACAGCCCCACACTGTGCACTGGACTATTCACTGTTCTAGAACAGTTTCCCTAATTGTCCTCGTCCAGTAAAATTCTCAAAAAATATGTTTACAGTCGCTATCTTCATATCATCTCCCATTCTGGCAAGGCTGTTTGGAGCAGGTTCAAGAGAGAATGGTTGATATGTTATGTTGAGAATGGCATGTCACTGCTGTGGCCTTCCTCTCAAAAATTCATAACCCCAGTCTCACCATGAGAAAAACATCAGCCAACCTCAAATTAAAGTGAATTCTATACAATGCCTCATGTATTCCTCAAAATTATCAAGACCATCAAAACAAGGAAAGTTAGAGAAACTGTTCCAGCCCAGAGGAACCTAAGGTGCTGTGACAACTAAAGATAATATGATATTCTGGATGGGATCCTGGAACAGGAAAGAAACTTTGGGTAAAAGATAAGGAAATCTGAATCAAGCATGGAGTTAACTAACTCCATATAAAAATTATTGGTGTAGATTCATTAATTGTGACTAATCTGCCATACTGATGCAAAAGGTAAATAATAGAAGGACTTTGGTGTGGGGTATATAGCAACTCTCTGCATTGCGTTTCCAACACTTCTATAAATATAATAGTTTTCTAAAACAAAAAGGCAATATACTAATGTTAGATAATAGTTTCAGAACTTGTAGTAAGAGTCATAGCAGTAGTTACAGTGATAGTAGTTAGTAATAGAAGATTCATAAGCATGTTAGAAGAGAGAACCCAGTTAGCCTGTTTCTTCCGTGCAGCATATATACACAGGGTTGAACTGCATATACAGCCCACTTGAGGAACTATAATCTTACTTTTAGCAATAAGACAGAAATCTGTCCAATTCACATGTATAAAAGATTAAGATAATAGGATCTTTATCTAGAGGCATTATAAAGATGACAAAAGGGTGTTTTGAGAAGGACTGAGCTCAAACTTTGTAAGCGGTTTATGCCGCTTATTTTAAATATTAAATACAGTGAAGACTAAAAGATATATAGCATAGTTTGATGCCAAAATTTCCAGCTGACCTTCACAAAGAAGGTAACGTTTAGCCAGAGTGGCCAAGAACAGAAGCCATCAAGCCTAGACACTCCTGTTCTCACCTGCCCTTCTCCTCAACTGTCTCTGCCAGCAAGCTCTCTCTAAATACTAAATTTTAATCCATTTATTTTTGCAATCTCCTTTGCTTGCCTTCAGTACACTCTGCAAAAATGGCTGCCTGCTTCTATGTTGACTAAAATGACTCCACAGAGCTGACATTTTCAGAACTCAATATACCCGTACCCCTTTTGGCAGCTGTATCTCTTTCTATAGGGATAGCAGAAGGAGTGGAAGCCAGGTTCTCCACAGAGTATAACATCACCTCATCATATAAAAGGAATGGCTTTGTAGTGGTTTCCACAAGATTGCTAGAGAAAGGGATAGTGCCACTACACTACATGGTCTGCAATTGAAATCTACATACTAAATTACTTCTAGTCCCATGATATGCCCACTGTTATGCTTTCAGATGGTGACACACACTTAATCTCTGCAAGAACAGTCTTCTTATCTCTCTTTATCTTAGGATTTTGACTTAGATGTCACTTGGACAAGGAAGCCCCTGCTAACAACCTCTCAACCCCAAGTTTATATCAAGGGTTCCCTTAGAACCAAAACATTCCTCTGTCTAAGCAGTTGTCCCATTGGATTATAATTGTTCATCAGATTTAAGGTACATGAAGGCATTGCCATATCTCTCTGGATCACTGTCAAATCATTGAGAGCCAGAACATTGATTGATACACAGTAGGGATGCAAATACATAACTTAGAATGAATGGATAGAATCATTCCCAATCAAAAGTATATTGTAAGATCACTTTCACTCAAAGATTGTGTCATGATATTTCTCAAGAACATTTAAATCTTAGGGCAGAGGCTAGTGTAAAGAAGCCATCTTTCATGTCACCATACACCCTATCTGCTACTCTGGAAAAAATGTCAATGTTTAAAAACAATGAGGTTTTTAAAATGTGTTTCAAATCTACATTTATGTCATGTTTTCAGGATAAGGAATAATAGCAGAAATAAAATTTTTAAAACCACAGTGAAATTACCTAAGTATAAAAGACGATCTTCATGACATTTCTTTTCTAGGTGTTTGTTCTTACATTGAGTATGAGCTGTTAAAATCCAAACTATAGCTAAAGTAAAAACTTGTGAACATTTTAAAAAGTAATTAAACTAAATCAAAAATTTGAAATTAACTAAAAATAAGTATAGGCAGGATTAAACGTACTCTCTTTCATCTCACTGGAGATATAGTTTTTTTTGGGTAAATCCTAGAAACATTATATTTTTTTATTTTCACATCTCCTTAACATTTTACAAATACACTTTAAACAAGAAATTGAAATGTATTAAGGACTCATTTTATTAACTGACCTAATCTCCATTTAAGAGAGTTTTTAAAATATTAAATAATATATTCTTGCAAAACCCTGTAACAATATAGCAGAGTATTAAAGCACAGCAAATGATCATAGTTAACATATTTTTAAATAATTCCTTCCATGTCTTAATTTATTAAAGTTTTTCTTAGGGCCACTTTATGTCACATAGTGCCCTAAATCCATGAGAGTAGAGAAATGAGTAAATTTACCCATACTATGAAGAAATTTACTATTTATTGGAGAGATAAACAAGTATAGGTCACTGCAATGAAATCTTTGGGAATGATGTCAAAGTATGCCTGGAGGCACTGTGGAAATAACACAGGAGAGATACTAACCTTGGAACAGGTTGCTCTTCACACAATCTAAGTTGCTCCTTTCACTGACATTCAGTGAAAAGAGGCAGGTAGATGTTACATGTGGATTCAATGTGGATTCAGTGTTTCACTTGACAGTTGTAGGGAAAGATAAAAGTAGATGAAATTTAACCTTTCTTCTGAAATTTAGCAGCAGTAATTGTGGTTTGGTTTGTACATTGAAGAAGTTAAGTGTTTTGGTGATCATAATGAAAATAATACAGTAGAAATGTTAACAAAAATGCAAGAAACTTTCATAGGGCAAAGTATAAAGGAAGGAGCATGACTTTTGTCTTAAGTACATAGGTTTGAATCACAGCTCTGGCACTTACTACTCATGCGTCTGTAGACAAATCATATAAATTACCTAAACCTTAATTTCTTCATATGCAAAATGAAATGCATACTAGCTTACTTGTGGAGTTACTATAAGCATTAAATAAGATAACATTTATATAGCACTTTTCAGATTGCCTGTGCCATCTTAAAGGACTAAAATGTGATGGTAGAGATCTAATTGTAAACTAAACTAGGTATTTCAATGCAGGATGCTTTACCCCTGACAGGGAGTGGCAGAATGCTGACAAGTGTGAATCAGTGATCTGATTTCAGAGAGTCTGGAGTACCAAGCAGAGAATAAATGCAGGGATGTGGTTGATGATGATGATGAAGATGATAATCACTGCATCTCCTCCAAAAGCTTAGAGCATTTATCACTTTGATTTCCTATGACCAATTAAAATACTTACTTATATATTTTTTAAAGTGCACTTAGGAAAAATCATGTTTCAGTTAACCCCTTTGCTAAGTAGACCCTCCTTGACTCTAAAAGAAGTCAGAATCTTTGGAATGTCTTACTTGGTATTACATGAACCGATGTGAAATCTCACTGAACAACTATTCTACTCCCAGTGGTAAAATCAGGGAGCGTTAGTATCCTACATGCATTGAGTCAGAATGAAGCTCAGTGAGCAGTGAGCAATGTGGGATATTAACCTCATCCTACCTATTGTCTAACTTCCTGTGCATTGCTTATACTTAGCAGTGGCTTCAGCATTAGGTAGAATTCCAGCATTTGCTTTCTCTCTCTTTCACTTCCCTTTAACCTGAAAGAGTGCAAAAGCTTTGAATTCAAGCTCACTTACTAATCCTGGCCCAAGACTCTCTAGCTTCCAGCAAAGTACTTAGCAGCCTCTGTACTTGTTTTCTAATTTGAAAAAGTAGCTGGTACAAAACCTATTTTAGGAGGTTTTAAACTTTTTAAACATGATAACAAATATCAAACACCTTGGATAGTGTCTAGCATATAGCAGGCATTCAATAAACACTGACTTTTTTGCATCATTGTTTTCATCCACTGTTACCTCATTTGATTTAGGAGAGCATTGTTGGCTCCATTTTAACAGATGAGCTGTAAAATAGATTAAGATAATTTCTTAGGCCACGCATAAGGTATGTAAAGAAGGGATTTGACCCGAAATCTCCTAATGCTTGTCACAGACACTTTTGGCACCCTGTGCTCACATCCTCTTACGAGACTCTGATTTCAGCCATAGCTGCAGTAGATGGTTCCTGCAGCTGGAAACATCCCACTTCAGGCCTCCACTGTACCATTTGTCTCTCCTCTTCTTGGACTCAAGTTCCTCTCTAAAGGCCCTAGGAGTTTTCAGGCAAGAGAATTCTGGAAGTACATAGGAGTTAAAGTCCTTAACACCACCCTTTAATGAATAGACACCAGCATCCATTCTCTTCCTTCTGACAGGTAATTCTCAATTGCATTATTTGAGTCAGAGTTGGCCATAGGGGGAGCTATCTCAATAGCACACCCTACTTTGGCTTTTCCTTGTCTATTGCATTCTGTTCTAATTAATAATCCTTAATCCTGCTTCCTAGGATTACTTCCCCAGTAAATGACCTGCACCTAAGTCCTTGTCTCAGACGACATTTTGGGAACTAAAGGTTTGGGTGAGAGAAGAAAGGGTGTTTTGTTTTGTTTTCATTTGTGTTTGTACAGCATTTCTCTCTATTTCTCCTTAGGTTACCAAGATGCTGGCAGTGGTTGTAATTCTGTTTGCCCTTCTATGGATGCCCTACAGGACTCTTGTGGTTGTCAACTCATTTCTCTCCACTCCTTTCCAAGAAAATTGGTTCTTGCTCTTTTGCAGAATTTGCATTTATCTCAACAGTGCCATCAACCCAGTGATTTACAATCTCATGTCCCAGAAATTCCGTGCAGCCTTCAGAAAGCTCTGCAACTGCAAGCAGAAACCAACAGAGAAACCTGCTAACTACACTGTGGCCCTAAATTACACTGTCATCAAGGAGTCGGACCATTTCAGCACAGAGCTTGATGACATCACTGTCACTGACACTTACCTGTCTGCCACAAAGGTATCTTTTGATGACACCTGCTTGGCTTCTGAGGTATCCTTTAGCCAAAGTTGATTCATGAATTAAAGGAAAACGGACCATAAAGAAAATGAGAATCTGTGCAGTAATCAACAAAAGGGAGAATATGGCCAATAGTTGTATGTGAAGACAGAGCAGATCAGTCTTTGTCAATCCTCTAACAAGTCCTGGCCCTAGACACTTTAAGGAGGATGATTCAGACTTTCCTTCTTTCAAACTAGTATCACAAAAAATGAAGCCGATCTGTGAAATAGCTAAATGATTAAAAACTGAAAGTTTAGCCCTTTTCGTTTAACTTAAGAAATTTACTATATTTTCTGGGCTTACAGAGTTTCAATAAAATCTAGACAGCAACTTACATTATTCATAATAACCTTATCAAATGTCACTTTTCAACCCCCTAAGTTATTTATACATTCAATAATTTGACACCATGCAGATTTTTAAATGTTTGCATTTAGTATTTCCTTTTAACATAGCACAGTGCTAGCTCATGAATATCTGAAATTAAAGGGAAAAATACCATAGAAAACATTTTATTTATTGAGTAAAAATAAGATTTTAGACATACATGTTCACTGTATTTTAAAAATTGTCATAATGTTTATAAAATTCCGAGATGATTTTTATCTTAGAAGGCAGATAACCGTCACTCAACTTTAATGTTAAATAAACCTCAAAGTATCCAAAATTATTAATTAGGAGAAACGTAGATTTTAAGATAAATCCAACTCTTAACAACTCCTCCAGCCTCCTATATGATAGATGGAACAAGGTAAAAACCCGGATTAAGTAACTGGGAAGATACAAACTAACATATGATTAATTTTGAAAAGTATAGCCAAGACAAAAGCAAGTATTTATAATAAAGTTTTGCTTCTTCTTTGAAGCTTTTAAGCAAGAAAATATTTTTGAACATTCTTGTTTATAAACTACTGAGCCATCCTTCAAGCAAAATCTAGCTTAAAAGTCTGAAACATTTGTAAAAGCTTCCCTGTTACTCTAGATCAGCCAAAATCCTGGTATCCCCATTCCAGATGAAGAATTCCCACTGAGAATTGTAGTCTAGGGATTTTTACCTTGGTTGTAATTGTCTTTTCTTCCTAACTGCTTGTCGTTTGTAGGTTCTTTTTCTGTTTTTTCTCAAACATTACTGATATTTTGTTTACAGATTCTCAATTAAAGCAATGCAAAATTCTGTTGGCTTTATTTTCAGTAGAGTTAAAACTGATTTCATCATATTATCAGTTTCTCACTTTTATATTTATGACCGAGATCTGCTAATGCAGTGATTATTAGAAATTTGTGAATGGATCTGTCCAGGACATTTGTCATTTCCTACCTGAATCTCTTACCTACTGAGATTTGGCCAACCAGAATCTTCAAGGGTGTAAATTGCCTTTGGTAATGGTTCGGTAGTCACTGGTTTTTAATGACTAGATGATCAAAAAGTACCCATACCTTTACATGCCCCATAGCCTGGCATTTTCCCTCTCCAGTCTATATCCCTATTTTATGGACTTTTTAGAACCTAGTTGCTAATGATAATTAGGCCTACCCACCTTCTTAATGAAGAATATGCCATTCTACTTTCAAAACTTGTTTTTAAATGCTGTTTCATGGAGACTCTACTATCCAGAACCTCATTCTAGAATATGCTTTTCTGAAAATTGTCTTCATCTACTCCACCAAGACATTTCTATCCTGTTGCTATAGTAGTAAACAAATGCAAGCCAATATTTGCAGGAAATACCCTAAAATTCTACCTACATGACAGTAAGCAATCTATGTCAACTGACTTTTTATTCTGGTATAAATATTAATCTTGGCATTGTATAAATAGAGCACCAGAGTGACCCAACCCCAAATCACACAAGCATATGCGTGTTTATAAACACATACCCACATGTTCATAAACTAGGGAAAAAGGGATTGGAATATATGAGGTATTTTTCATTGCAGAAAGAAACTAATATGATTGAGCATCTACTATGTCTCAGGTATGCTAGTAGAGTCAATCAACATTATCTTCATCACAATCTCACTACAGCTGTGATTTCTCTGATTATAAGACCAGTTTTCCTGTAACCTAATTCCTAATTGATAAAAATTTATGGATTTTGCAGAATAATTATATCAAATGTTAAAAAATACAATTAATTTAACACGATATACATAGAATACAAAGATGCTCTTCACATATTTGGATATTTAATGTATGGACTGACTTCTTCTACTTTAATTTTTAAAAAGTTATTTGCCAATAATCTATTAGTTTTAGAACACATGGGAAATTCATAAGAACTGAGTTCATAGCGTTTTAACTCTAAAGCAAATGCCATTATACAATTAAATGTTCCTATGTAATATCCAATAGATATTTGAATTTACCCAGAAGAGACATAACTTTTTAAAATATTCTTTATCACACTATACTCAGTTAGGAAATATTTCCATAATCAAAACTTAATATACCACCAAATGAGAAACAAAGAGCTAGATTAAAATTTGCTGGTGAAATGAAGTAATGTTATTAAGAGCCTTCCTTAATAAAGATTCCCTGTTTTATTTTATTACTTCCAATTTCATTAATTGCTGATTGTTATTGGTTAGATTTTACACTTGAGGTAATTGGGTAAAGGGCACTGATCATGAATAAAACGAACAATCATAAATTCCCTCTCAGGACTTAAGGGCTGTGAGTCTATTTCTAGACCTTAACAGACAAGGCAGATATTCTAAATGCTGAAGAAAAATAAGACAAGTCCAGACTCTATAGTCATTCTTAAACAAATTCAATGTACAGAACAATAAACCTTGATAATACACAGAAATGAATGGCTGATTTGGCTAAACAACTTGCAATGTCAAAGGAAAAGCCACAGCCATAAAACTTAGTGTAGTGCAACTAAGTCTTAATGGATATCTGAAATGTTTTATTTTCAGAAGACTATGTTGGAATAATAAGAACAATATGTCTTAGTAAAAGCTGGGTCAACATAGTTTTGGCTGGCTTTTAAAGAATAGAAGAGTTTATATCCTTTTAAACTATGTTAAATCTCTAAACATGATAAAAAGAGAAAACTTTCTGAAGGAAAAGATTTTATGTGGTTAACCCATCAATCTTTGAATTCTATAAGTATTATATTTAATATTTTTACTTCTCAATTGCAATTAAAACAGGGGTTGGAATATTTGTGTATGAAATCGGGAAACTCAATGTGAATTATTGTACACTAGTCAGTTCCAGAGTCAAGAAAAAATGTTTTCAAATGTTTTAAGTCACTCAGCAAACATGAATATCCCCAGCAATTTCTTTCCTATGCATCCACAGTTGTCTACAATAAACAGCCATCAAAACCAAGATCTGATTGAATGAACATAAGCTTTCAGAATAATACATATGAAGAAATCTTACAGAGCTCAGTGGTCATAAGTATTTTTCTCTCTCTTCTCTCTTCCCCATCAAACTCTCAACACTCCACAATCATCATTTTCCTCGTAGCAGAAAGATTCATCTAAGTTCATTCAAGACTAAACCTGGACATGAAATATCTTAAGTACAGGTGTTCTTTCAAACGTATTTATGTATAAAAATATGTGGTTGTTTTGCAAACTTTCATTTTCATGAAATCACTTTTAAACATTGAAAAACTGATATCTTAAAATAGAATTCTATTTATGTTCGCATTTACATGTGGGGACCATGTATAGAGTTGAGAAGTTTAATATGGCTCTTTCCCTCACAGAACAAAGTACAACTTTGGCATTTTAGGGGTTGCTATCAGAAGCTAATCAAAGAACAGTCAATATGTGCAAAATTGCTGCAGAAATTTGTTTCAGCAGAAAAAAGGCTCTTCTCATTCTTATGAAGCTCATAATCCTACAAGAAAAACAAGACCAACATGACATCACCTCAAGATATAACTGTTTGGCAATATTTAGAATACAAATCTGAGATGTCAGAAATATGATTTTAAAGAAGCATTTGCTAATGGTCCATTTGAAATCTCATAAGATGACTTTTAATATAATGATCAATTTTACATATTCTCATTCTACTTTATGGACTCTAATTAGAAGTATCTGATAACTTAATTCTTCACTGATTACACAGGAAATGAATGTCAGCTAAGACCCTGTAATATTTTTCTGATATGTTCAGCTTGTTAGTATAATCTCATCGCTCAGCAGCAAACCTCATTTACAGGGGTTGCACATTGGAGAGCGATTTTGTTACTGACATGGTTAGCACCAAATGATGACAATGCTGACATAAACTAAATCTATAGGATTCTGCTTCTAATATTCAAATACAGTAGTCCTCCATATCCTCTGGGGATCCAATTTAAGACCCCTACTGGATGCCTGAAACTGTGGATAGTACCAAACTCTGTATATACTGTTTTTTTGATCTGATAACCAAGATGGCTACTAAATGACTAGCAGCAGGCAGGCAGCATGCACAGCATGAATACACTGGACAAAGCGAGGATTCATGTTTTGGGTGGAATGGAGGTTGACTGCAGGTAACTGAAACTGCAGAAAACCAAACCAAACTGTGTATAAGGGGTAACTATTGTAACCTCTTTTGACAAAAGGGATCATGAGTGTTTGTGTACAATGTCATTGGGCCTATTTACATTCTTCTACAACAAGCACATTCATGATAAAGCCAATATAAGATTATTAATTCATATTTCAGAAATGACATCTGGAAAAATAAAAGAGCTAAATGAAGTAGTACAGCTAGGACAGTACATTGTCCCAAATGTCCAAATCTGGATCCAGCAAGATAACAAAGGATAGTTTTAATGGCCAATAAACAGTGAATTCACACGGCTTTCCTGCCTGGCCTCAATGGAGAAGCATCTGGGTTAAGTCCATGCTACAGACTCTCAACTGGAATAATGGAAATAAAAGTACTTCATGAATTATAAAAGTTAAAAAGGCAGGATAAACCGTGGAGTCAGCTGTAGCTCCTTCAGCATATCTGAGCCCTGAACAGCACCTGTAAGTGGTTAGTTCATTCCTCACAGAATAATGAACTTAATTCTTGTGCATTAGGTTGTTCTCTGACTTCCAAACAGGAGAGAGTATGAACTTCCTCAAAAATGGTGTGACTGATATTGACAAAGATGGAGGCTTTTCAAAAAAAAAGAAATAAATACAAGGTAGCAGAATAAGGCTCCATCTAACCAGAGATCAGAATTCAGAAGTCAATAGGAACATAATATTCCTGAAACAGCACAAGATGCCCTAGTAAGTAGGCCAAATATTTAATCCTTAGCCAAGAATAATAAAACATTTCTGCCTTCATATACATAAGAGTTACCCGGGAGCTTATCTTAAAATGCACTTTCTTTTGGTCTTGCCCTAAGTAATTCTCATTTATTAGATGATTTTGATACCTATAGTCTTCTGAGCATACCTTGAAAACCACTGAGTTCAGGGCCCTCAGAGCCTTCAAGCTCACATAATTCTTAATAAGCAACTAAACGGAAAAATCCTTGAGGATAAGTCTATTTCATCTTTGTATTTCACAAATTATCTAAACTACTTTTTAGTTAATTATTTATTATCTATTGGATGATGTCCCTAAATATCTGTAAAATGAATGAGTAAATCAATCCCAAGCTCAGAAATATATTCTAAATTGGGTAATGATAATACCCAATTTGCCTATAGATATATCTTCACAATCAGATAACTCATTGTGCTTGTTTTATGTTTTAAATAGTTCTCCTGGCTCATTGAAAGGCACTGCATGAAGTGTGCCAGATGATGGTCAGAACAATTCCTATGTATGTAACGTGCATGACAATTTCAGTGGTACTCTCATGTCCACCATCCACTTTAATAATGAGAAAAAGGAAGACTAAAACATTTTCTCCGCTTTCAAGGAGATTACAATTTAGTGACAATGTATTAACACAGAAACATGCCAGAAGAAAAAAGAACACATAATTGGAAGCCAAATTGTGTGATTTCAGACTACACACAGCTGAGTTCTTCAGAGGAAAGGGGGCATCCCTGGGGCTTGGAGTCATTAAGGAGGGCTTTGTAAAGTAGGTAGGACTTCCTCTAAGGATATTATTTGATTTAGATAGTTAAAGAAAAGATGATCCATGTGAGAAAAAATAAGATGAGTAAAGGAAAGGAGACATAAATAAATCTTAAAGCAAGGCTCTTGATATTAAGAGTGTATCCAGAGCAAATAGAATTCATCAGGGATTGATTAAGGAAGGCAGCTAGTCCAAAAAAGGAAAAAAAAAAAAAAAAGATAAATGAAGTAAATTGGAGATCACAAATAGATGGCCTCTGGATTTAATTTGACCTACTAGCATGGTGGAGGCCCAATATTAAAAATCAGGACATTCTGGCCAGGCATGATGGCTCACTCCTGTAATTCCAGCACTTTGGGAGGCCAGTTATGTTAATTATGTATTATTATATAATTATATAATGTGGGTGGATCACTTGAGCTTAGGAGTTTGAGACCAGCCTGGGCAACATGGCAAAACCCCATCTCTACCAAAAATACAAAATTTGCTTCTGCTTTTGATATTATAGCTACGAAACTATTGCCTAATCCCATGTCATAAAAATTTCACCTATATTTCATTGCTTACATTCTGGTCTATGATCCATTTTGAGTTAGTTTTTATGCGTGGTATTTATTATGCGGAGGGATGGTGATGTTTTTCCCCTCACGCCTTTCCGTAGATGAGTAAGCAAGATTTCCTCAAAAGCAAAATACAGATTATACCACATAATACAGGTGATTTTCTTATGTATTCATCATATCATGTAATGATATTATTCATCAACATTTAAAATGTGTTTTCCTTAACATCAAACAACTTTGAAATAACTATCATCTTTGTCTTATTTTAATCTTATTGTTCTCATTCAAAGTTTATGTTAATTATGAGTTTAATAAGCAGAATTAAATTAGATAAATATTCCCATTTTGGCTAACCTTTTGGTATTCAACAGAGTAATCTTATATCTTCTCTAGATTAAGAATTACACTTACTATAGAACTATGCATCTAATTTTTGAGTTTTTAATCATTGATGCCAACTACACTTTCCTAAGAAGGCATAGACTTTTCCTTTTTCATCTCCAGAAAAATCAGTAGAGCAGTTAAGTTGTTATAATTGACACTAACCCACAAGGAAAAGTCCCTTTACTTGTAAAGTTTCTTTGATCTATTAGAGGCTACAAGTTTTGAGGGTAATTGTAAATCTAAACTACTGAGAGCTGTATGCTAATGGCTTAAATAAGAAGGCCAAGGCAGCTGTGGGTGCAAGACTACTGTCTCCTTTGAAGGGGAAACTAAATTTTGGCACAAAAATGAAATAATATTAACCTGAATTATCATAAAATCTGAAATTCTGTAAACAGCGTTGAAAGCATCCATGTGACTTTGTTTATGTGTGTTAATTATACTTATTTCTTGATGAATACAGATTAATTCCTGAATTCATTTCATGGCTATTGGAGGCAGATGTTCAGATAGAAAAAGCCATAGTCATTAACTTCTCTTCTAATCTTTAATCTCAATTTTGGGTGGGGGGATTTGACTTAGTTTAAAAATGTTTCTTACTGATATTTATAGGGAGCTTATTGTTCTTTATTATTAGAGAAAAAAATATGTATACCAGAGATAATTATACTTAGGTCATATCTTTTGTGTCATTGTTCTAGTTTTAATAGCTAATTGAAATATATAAAGTAATTCTGCAAACCTTTAAGGACATTTTTCCCACACTATTTTCAAGTGGAGGAATAGAACAACAAAACATGGAACTTGTCTATAATGAATTTAGTAAAGGAGGTAAACTGTAAATATAAATAATTATAGCTGGGCACGATGGCTCACACCTGTAATCTCAACACTTGAGAGACTGAGGTGGGCAGATCACTTGAGCCCAGGAGGTAGAGATCAACCTGGGCAACATGGCAAAACCCTGTCTCTACAAAAAATACAAAACTTAGCTGGGCATGGTGGTGCATCCCTGTAGTCTCAGCTACTCAGAAGGCTGAGGTGAGAGGATCACCTGAGCCTGTGGGCATTGAGGCTGCAGTGAGCTGTGATCATGTCACTGCACTCCAGCATTGGGTGCCAGAGTAAGACTCTTTCTCAAAAAAAAAAAAAAAAAAAAAAAATCAATCAATAAGAATAAATAAACAAATAATTGTAATATAAGGGAATATGCTTAAGGTGCTGTCACTGGCAGGTGGGAGTGGACTGGAAGGCAGAAGTTAATGCTCTTGGGAAAGTGAAGGTATTGAAAAGACTTCCTGGCAAGTATTGTAGCACCTTTTGAATTGGGCTTTGAAGAGTGAAGAAATTAGGCAAGGAAATGGGCTTGTTGGCCTTGGAGTGAAGCTGTTAAGAAGCTTAGCATTGTAAGAGGCTTAGAGACAGAAGAGTGTGAAACATAGAAGTCAGGTGAGTGGGAGCTAATTCTTGGGCCAGAGTGTAGGTTGTGTGAAGGATAGTACTGCCCAGGGGACCAAAACACTGACAGTCCTGGATGCTAAAGGAGGGGGTTTGGCATTTATTCTATAAGCATACAAAACCTTTAAAAAA